AAACTCCTCCTCCCCCAGTTGTTGATATAACATAAAATTAAGATACGAAAGCAAGATCAATAACTCATTTCCTCATGCATTTTTGAGAACAGCAACATAATCAAGGAGTATAAACAGTGCCAAGTCATTTTAGGTGTTTACAGAAGAGCTGTTAAATAGGATCTAAATATTTTTTTTTTAATGCTGATTTTTTTCTTTACATGGGATGAGGCTTAGAGCAACAAAACCTGCCTGGACCAACCTGTCCCACCCAGTTCAGAGTCATTAGGACACCTACAGTCCCACAAAGGGATTTTTATTGTCAGCACCTGAGGCAATAAAGGAACCACCAAATGAAGCCTCAAGCCCCAAAGGCTTTGAACATAGACAGACACTTCCCACCCCTACAGAATAAAATGATCCTATACTTGTGGCTACTGCAGATGTCAACAGCATTTTCTAGACCAGAGAAACAGTTTTACACAGGAAAGGTTTGATGAGCTTCCATGTGCCAGGTGCTTTAGGACTAAACTGATACTTTTTCAGAGTAATCCTTGCTACATTAAAAATAATTGCAAATCTCAGCAGCAGCAACATAAGAATGTGCACTGAGTTGGATTTTACCTTGTAGGCCAAAGACTGGCTTGGTCAGAATAAGTGGGATGGAACTCCTGTAGTTTATGAATGAACACATCCACCTGTAATTTATAAATGAACACATCCACCAGCAGATCTGCACCTGCCCAGCTCAGAGGAGGTCAGTGATCCCTCTGCATGAGCTTCAGTGTAGTGATGAAATGAGGCTTGGATACCTGAGGCCTCCCAGGAGATTATCAACTTCCTTAAGTATCCTCTGTCCTCTCCTTTTTTACATTATAAAACTGGGAGAGTAAAATTACAGTCCTGGGGCATTGCAAACAAACAGCACACGTGCACTTCTAAGTGAATCAAAACCTATGTACCTTTGAGACTTAATGCTTAGACCAGTCTCTCTGGGACTTCCAGAAAACCCAGTGTTACCACCATTTCTACAAAACTAAAACAATGATAGTGCAGGCAACTGTCAACAGAAGTCTTGCTCAAAAAAAAAAAGTGTATTCACTTCATAATCTAATCCACCATCTAACTCAGAGTGTTTCTTTGAGAAGAAGAAGTTCAGCTGCAAAGGTAACATCCAAATAAATTAAGAAATGTAAATGAAGTTATTTCCCCCCCCGCCCAAGTCCAGATTCCTTTCAGTGAGATTTTTAGCCATGATTTCCATGAACTATGAGGAGGAGGAAATCAAGCAAATAAAAATAAAATTTCACAAGGGAAGTTGATCCCATGCTCATGGCTATTTTTTATATCATTTCTCCTACATACATAGATGATTGTAAAAACTTCTACGTGTTTAAATATTGAGGAAACTTTTCCTCACCTGCCACTTCCCCAAATAAACAAACTGAACTAACTTTGCTTAGAGCAGCCACGGGGTTTGTTTTGCATTCTCAGTCCAAATATCGTTTTCTTTGCACTGTTACAGACTAGAGACACAAAAAGAATAAAGTCAGTACCTCAGAAGGTCCAGGAACAATTATTATGAGATAAACTCTCTCATAGTCCATCCTGTACCTTATCTGCTCACCTTCCCTCATTGCCAAAACATTTATTTCTAACTGATGCCCATAATCAGCAAGAAAACTCACACCTCAAGGAAGAACATTTCCTCCCTCTTCAAACAAGTAATATTTAAAGCTGCTCTGAAGGAATCCATCTGTGAAAAGCTGTCCCAAGCCATCTGTCCAAAACCATTATCAATGATGGAGGTGCAGAAAGGTCACTTTTCTTTCCTCTCCACTATCACACGATATGAAAATGAAAATAAGCTCATGTGGTGGCAAAATCTACATGACATGAAACTTTGGTTGTGCTGCCTGCAATCTGAACAGCAAGACAAGAGCAGTCCTGTGGCTGAACAGAGATCACACAATAATTTGAGTATCCCACCATCATTTATGATGCCACCAAACCAGATTATAGCTGTGGGTGAAGGTGTACAACCTGCAGTTTATGTCCACAAGATAATCCTTCAGTGAATTCTAGAGTATATTCTAGATTGCTTATTAACAGCAAGCTCTCATGGAGCAGAGAACTCCTGTTTCAGTGCCATCTGCATCTGCAGAGGGAATATACCTGAGTTTGGAGTAACCAATCATGATGAAACCCCAAATTATCCCTAGTATAGCAATACATTCCCTCAGGGATGTGAGCTCCAGCAAACACCATCAACCTCCTCCTGCAAATAGTGTGTGGCACCCAAAGTGTTGGTCTTTATCATCAGATCTTTTAGCAACCCATAATGGTTCAGATATTTGATATTTTTGGCACCCCAATGAATTTGCTGACATATTAGCGGGGACATTCTCATCCTGTGCAACTGTACATGTAAGACTCACCTGACCTTTGACAGTTTGGCTTCTGTTGACTGTCAACATTAAGGCCAACTATGTACTTCCACTTGACTGTGAAATACAACTTTCCATTGTAAGTAGACTTAAAATAGAGAAAACAAGCTATCTAATGGATGACCAGCACATTATTTCAGATGAACTTCTTGGCATCCCCCAGGCTGGAGTGACAGAACAGTCTCAGACTGCACTGCAAGGCTTTTTGTAAGACATGAAGTGATTCACTTTGCAAAAGCACGTGGAGTGTGAGCTCTGCCCCTCCATCCCCATTTTACCTGTTCTGCACCATGCTCATGGCCATCCAGTCCGAAGGGTAAACGTTCTTCCCAATGAGATCTTTGAACATTATGAATGTTTCCATCAAGAAGTCCTAGAACGACAAACTGTTGTCAGTCTGTGGCTGTGGAACACACAGTTTCTGCTCCACCTTGCTCCCAGTGAAGCCAAGAGAAGAATTCCTGGGGATCTCAGCAAGGCCAAGATTGGAACTGCAGTCTTACAGGAGTCTCAGAAATGAAATGTCTCCAAATGAAAGATAAAAGCCCCACTACCTTGGGATCTTAAGAAAATAAAGGCAGAGATGAATTGAAGAAGAAGCTGTAGTGAACAATCAAAAGTTTAGAGTAAAATTGTTGATTTTTTTTTTAAATGAATGAAGAAAACAGTCTCACTAGGCATAAAGAATAAATAGATTTGAAAAATACTAGATTTTTTTATTTAGTCCATTTAGTTCACATTCAACATTCCAGTTATGGCACCACTCTGACTTCAAGAAAGAGGGGAAAGTGGTCAGTTCTTGACAAGTGCAAGTAGTGCCTCCATGGACAAACTGTCCATGAGTGCCCTGATGGTGCAATCAAAACCTTTGCCAATACCCTGACTTACTTCAGAGTTAAGTCAGGAGTGTAAAAAGACAGACATAAGACTATGGAAACCCTCCAGAACATAGTGACCCCTGGCACAAACTAGAACGTACCCCAAGTATCAATAAATTATGCTGTAAACAACTGACATGAAAAGATGCACTACAAGAATAGGGAATTTACTGCATTTATCTTACAACATTATCTGGAGAAGGAGTAGATGCAACAGTGAAAATGAAAAGTGGAAATGAGTGAAGTGGGAGGGAGGGTTCAAGTAGCTGAGGATTGATTTTGTTGGGATTTTTTGTTGGTTTGGGTTTTTCCCTCCACAGACCAGTTTAACACAAAGATCCCATTAATTACTCTTGATCATTACATCACCATCTCGGTGCCAGAGTCAACAGGAGACATTTGTGTCCTTCCAACATTTACAAAGTTGTCCAATGTCACCATTAGAAGAGGGAGGGAACACAGTGACACAGAGGCAGAAAATGTACAGAAACAGAATTCACACTAGGAAAAATCAAACAAGATGCTCCACAAAAATACCACTGCTTTTTCACAGGAAATGAAATACTTAAAATTAGTACTCACCACTAGTTCTGAGCTTGTCTGAAAAGTTTCAATGTACACTGAATAATGCTGGTCACTCATCTGGTTTAGGATGGCTGTCATGCAGGCCACAAAATGACTCTGAAAGCAAACCAGACACAAATCAACACAGGTGGATCACTTACAGCGTGGGATTGTACTCTTTCTGAAGCTGGAGTACTCAAAATGCCTGATAAATCCATTTATGTGTGCAAAAATAAATAACATTTAAGCTTTTGCAAGCCCAAATGAAAGGAATACGCTAAGAACTCGAAAAAGATCATTCAAAAGCTGCCCTGCCACATGGAAACACACATTGTGACAAGAAAACTTTATATATAATAAAATATAACTTTATATATGATAAAGTACAACTTTATATATAATAAAGTACAACTCAGTATCACCTTAAGACTGCTAAAAAGCACATGAAGTTGTCTAGGAGTCTTCCCTTAGGAATTCATAGGAAGAAAATATGTTAGCATCAACATTTTCTAATCATTCTAAAAGCACACGATATTGACAGGAAGAAATAGTGCAAGAAATGCCATTTTTTACATTCTGCAGGTGTTTAAGCAGCTATTACAGAACTCTCAAACTTCCATAGAATACTATGACCTTCATAACTCAGAACTTCTTTCAAACTTCCTCAAAAGGAAACATTTTATTTTTCCCAAGTCCTGAAGTCAAAATGCTGCAATCCATGACATGATTTGTAATCCTGTGTTTTCATGTAATTTCCTGACAGGCACAAAGACATTTATCTCCCAACAACAACAGCAATGATTCGAAATTTTCCTTTCAGACGGTGAAGAATCCTCACGGATGCCTTTTAATTTGCTGAAGTTTTAAAAGTGACCCTGATTTAAACGCTTTGACTTTGTTTTAACGAGACGATGAAGTTGAGCGTGTAAAATAATGTTCTAGATTCCCTTGAGTCTTTTCACCACAGTGGGTCAGAACCCATCCCAGGGGCTCAGCAGCCCCTCTGAGCAGAATTTGGTTTCCCCCTGGTGCTGCTCAGAGTCTCTGTTTGACACTAATTCCCTTTATCCCTCTGTTACATCAGGGACACGTTACCAGGTCTCGGCTGCGCTGTCGCACCCAACCATTTTGTCCCCGCTCCAGAGGAGGGAATCGTTCCTTCCTCAGCTCCAGGCTGTGACCACTAGAGGTCTTGTTCTTCCCTCCATGAGCTGCTGTTCGGTTCGTGCTGCCCGTTTTTTTATTTATTTATTCCTACGCGAGCAGACCCAGCACACTTCTTGCATACAACCGGTGAAAATTACAACCTAAAGGACCTAATATACCTTCTTTTGGAGTAACAGGAATGCCAGTGAGAGCCTTGCCTACTTTTTTAAGGCTAAGAAGACACATTTTCTGCAGGTAGCCCAAAAGCTTTTCAGGTAAGAAATCGTGTGTTCTCGGGTACTGATGCTCTTCTAAAAAGAAATGCTGGATTTCCCGCAGTAGTAGTTCACTTTTACAGTTCTGGAGCAGACAAATCTGTTCTGTGATGTTCAATGCATAGCTGAGAGGAATAATGAATTGCAAGGGATTCAGTGCTGAAATTGTGTGGGGGTTTTCTTCTCATGCCTTGATTTTTAAAAAAGATATACCAACAGAAGTTAGAGAATTGCCATGAAAAGCAGCTTGTATTTTTAGTAGTTAAGCATTCACCACTGAATGCCTTTCTAGACTCAGGTTAAAAAATCACTGCTAGAAATAAGTAGCATTTCTTCACGAGCAGTGAATGGATGTATTATGTTGCTTAAAGGCACCCAGACTTTAAGAAGGTTATTTCCTTTGTCAAAACCAACTTCGAAAAATGTGTCTATATGTGTGATTATGGTACAGCATGAATGCCTGTTCTTAGTGACTGGGTATGGTGATTAAAAAATTAACAGATTATAGCATGCCTTGAAAATAAGCAGGGACACCTATTGCTGTGATTGCACCCGAGCTGTCAAATTCACCTCAGTGGGGCTGAATGATACATAAAAAAAGTGACAGTAAAGATGATTAGCTACGAAAACTTCTTCCATCATTTCCACATAACTGTAAAGCAGGAAAATACACCAATACAGTTTGATCTTGAGGCATTTTTCTCGCCAGCAATCTCAACTATCAGAAATCAGCTGCTAGCATCTTTATAGGTTAAAAGCTTGCCCCTCCCTCCTAATCCCCGAACACGAGCAAGAAAGATTCGCTTCTCAGAGGCAGCCTCGGATCTCTGAAGTGCCCTCTCCCCTCCTCCCTCCCTCCCAGCATTGCCATTCTCACTGGCAGAACTTAAGGATAACAGAGGGTTCTTCGCAGCTGTGATCAGAGCTGCAAATATCTCTGGGTGTTCACCGAAATTCTCCTCTGGGGTTTAGGTGCCTCTCAGTGAAATGTGCAAAGAGCATGAACTGCTTGTAAATACAGTAAGTTCTGCCCAAGAACCAGCTCTCACACTTGGGTCAGCTGCCTGTTCACTGGACAGACAGAAGAAATTCAGAGTCACACCACAAACTAACGCTTATGATTTAAAAACTTACGAAGTCAAACATTGTACATAGGGTTTGAATTGTGTAACAGAGAAGGTGAAGTTCAGGTGGAATCCTAACAAGTCACTTCAGCTGTGCTTTGGCTTGTTAGGATTTATCCTGTGGATTACAGCAGAAAACGTTGATTAGAACTAGGTCAGACGTATAAAAAATAAATGTATCAAAATAAACACTTGACTGCTGAGACAATGCAAAGGGAAGCAAGTCAGCAGTGCTATGAAGAGATCTAATAAAATATGTTTTTCAACTTGAAAACATTCATTTCTGTTTAAATACAAAAGAACCCATAACAGAAACAGCGCTGAATTCTATTTTATAAATAATAGATAGTTCTCTGACAGCCTTTCAAAAATCTGTAAAGAAATAAGGAAATGAAGTATGAACTTCAGGCAGGAGTAAATAGGTAGTCAAGTGAAAATGAGAGGGGAAAACAGGTCACGAGACATTGAAACTCTCTATCCTCTTAAAAAAAGATAATATTTAAATGAACTAAAATGCTGCCTTTAGCATAAACACTGAAAAGTGGTGGGTAAGGCAAAAGAAATTCTGTTTTGGTAGAGTATATAGGAAGTACAGTAAAAGGAATCACAGACTGATCCTGTAACACAAACAGGGCTCCCTCAGGTCAAGCAGGAAGAAGGTGGAATCTCCTCCACGGCTGCAAAAGTGCAGATCAGCCGTGGGTGCAACCTTTTCAGGAAAAGAAACAGCTGAGGCACATCAGGGGGATGTGAGTAAGATGCCAAACTTCAACACCTAGCAACTAAAGCACACTCTGGAAAGGCACATGGTGACAGGTTGCCGTAGTAACTTCAAATAGAGGACAAGGATGAGGCAAATGCACGGGAAAAACAACAGGAATAACGTGGAATGAAGCTGCATTTTCATTCTAATCTAATAGAAGTGTTTCAGTGGCTGCAGGGTGGGCAATTCTCGTGCTGGAAGTTCTGGAAGGACTTAGGAGGATTTTTATTTCATGAGGGCACTTAAGTGACATTTACCCACTTTACCAACGCAGAGCCCGAGTGTAAATACAGAGCCCCATGTACAGCATTAAAGAGCAGCCAAAACAAAACCATGAATAATTCCTAATAATCCAAAGACTTGAAGGCTGAGATGATGTAGTTATTTTTATATTCCCTCTCGAGCAGAATATTGGATTTTTTTTCAAATGTTAATTTTGCTCTCACAACTGCTGTAAGGTGAGAGGACTCTTTGCATAGTACCTCATAATCTACACTCACTAATGATGGTCTGTATTAATTAAAGCACAGTTTTCTGTAGTGGGCAAAGGAACTTACCCAGGCAATCCAATGTTTTTGAGGTGTTTGCAGCAATTATACTACGTAGATTAGATTTCATCCTGAACTCCCTTTCAGGTTAAGCCAGAAGTTTCAAAATTCATCATATGTTAGTGGCAGAAATTGGAAAAATTATACACATGAAAAGCATGATCAAGAATTTCCATGGGCCAAATAGTTTTCTCTTTTTTGCTTTGGTTTTTTTGTTCAGAAACAAGTTCAAAAATCTTTCTGGACAAAAAGTGATAAATACATAATCTTGAACGGAATTAAAGAAAAACTCAGCAATCAACTATTTCAATCTAATGTTAAAAATCATCAATATTTATGTTGGACCACAAACACATTATTGGGAAGGTCTCAAAAAATCCTGTCTTCACAGAATCATTGAGTCATCACATCTGTTTAGTGTCAAGGTCTAAAGAGCAACACAACTGCAAAAAAAGCATGGCAGATGCTCAGTGATGCCACGAAGAACCACAGCAGCTTGAAGCCACAGTTGCTCAGAAAACCCCATTAAACCTGGGGAACTCTGGCACATGTAGAGGTTGAAACAAACACCTTGATCATATCATGCAAACACTAAACAGTGCAGGTCTGACAGGAAAAAACAAGCAGGTTTTGAAGGGAATTGCCAATGTAGTAGTTCTGTTGCCTCTCCAGAAATAGATGTCTCTGCCAATGCCTGAGCTGGCCTAAAATGTCCTGTTTCTGCAAAGGCACAAATCCACAAACGTTGGACAGGCTGCTGTGCAACAGCCTCGGGTGTTCCTCATGTGTGAAGTGGGAAACAGCTCCTCATCCCTCCAGGCTTGGAGCTTGCCAATGAACACACCTCACCAGTGATTCATTTACAATAACATTCAGCTGCTCTGAGCTGGTCTGAGTTTTGAATTTTCCGTTCATACACTCCCGTAGTTCATTGGTTCTGTCTCCTTGTGTTCCACAGCTGAGTGAATGGGAGCTCATTCCACACCTCCCTGACAGCTTTGGATTCCTGACTGAAAACCTGCTGGGCTGTTTTTTAGCTGGTTCTTACATTTTCTTTACATTCATATGATTTAGCTAAAAGGATGTACAACTATAAAACCAGCAGCCTAGGAGGTAGAAAAATGCAGAACAATTTGGTTACACAATGAGATAGTAACAGCAGCTGCTCTGTAGGATTTTAAGACATGTTACAAGTTAGACAAGCAAGACAACTTCAATATTATCTCATTTAATACTTTTCTACATGTAGATAAAAGCAGTAAAATAACAGTTATGAGCATGGCATAAAAGGACCTTGGTTTTCTTAGAATATATCCTTTACCATCTATTTTTGGTGTATTTTTAACTTCACACCCATTTCCCAGCAATATTCAAAAAAAATCTATTTTTCATTCTCTGTACTGCTTTTGCTGCTGCTGAGTTTTGTTGTTTGGTTGGGTTTGTGCCATAAATCCACTCCAGAACTTCTACTCCTTTCTCTGGCTGGGATGAACACTCTGTAATTGGTTTACCTTGTGCTCAGGTCTGTGTTCAAACACAGTTCTGTAATTTACTGCTTCTCCCATAATATTAACTTGGTGTTCATCTTCGAGGTGCATGTACCAATAAATGATGGATAGCATTATTCAGAATGAGGTCAGGAGGCAATCACCTGGCATGAGCAATTATTGCTTGGAAGCTGAACTGGCTTGTCCTGAGCACAGTTACCAAAAAATGAGCTGTTTTACCTCCTCTCTTACCCACTGCTGTCACACTCCTGAGCTCAGCTCTGCTGGATCAGATGAAATCTTCCATCCTGGCCTTCAGGGGTCTGTGCAGCTTCTTCCCTCCTCCTCTGCAATCCACTAATTGCTTCCCCATAATTACTTGAGCTACTTTCCAGACGGGTCCCACAGGCCAGGAGGAGCTTCCTGCCCTGGTACATGAGATATCCACTGGGAAATCCAGGAATCCTGGTGCTGTCAGGCTGCCTGTTTCCAGAATTCCTTGTTCAAAGTGCTATTCCATTGCTCTGATGCCACTTAACTTGAGAGGGACACTCAAGTGACTTGTCCTGCCAAGTGTCCCAGTGCACTCATTCCCGTGCTGGAGATAATGCAGTCAGTATTCCATGGAAACAATGGAACTACACACATAAAATACAGGCAAATAATAACATCAAAAGTACTACCCATGGTTTATTTACTGTAGCAAAGATTGACCAATCTCTTGTATTTAGAAGGACTGGAAACCAACGTGGGAACTTGCAGGAAGGGATGCAGAGGCTGGGAGGAAGGAGTTCCCTGCCTGGAGGGACAAGATTTAAGAGCAGGAAATAACCCAGACTGCAGAGCAAAACACATCAGCTGCAAGGGACACCAGCACCGGGTCAAAAAGTGCAGAACTGGGCAATTTAAACTCATGGAAGTGCAGTAAACATCTTTTATTTCTAAGCCATATATTTTAAATTTACACGAATTGTGAAGATGAATGTCTTGGGTGATGATTCACTTCCTTAAAACTAAACAGAGCCACCTCCTGTATTCCCAGAACTGAGCCACTCTATTTGATTTTGCTCTTTTTTCA